CCCCCCCCCCCCCCCCTCCCCCCCACACACACTGTTGCGAAGTGCTCACGATGCCCTTCGCCCCTGTCTGTGGCCCTGATGAAGGCGCTCGGCTCAGATGACTGGAAGTGTGGACGTAGGTGTCTGGACGTGATGGACGGATGGATTGAATGCCGTGGACCGTGTGCCGATGGAGAGGATGCAGCCCTGGATGAATGGATGGATGGATGGAGCTGATGCTGATGCTGATGGATGACAGGCTGAAGGATGGTAGCCGTGTGTAGGCAGGCAGGACGACAAGCCGTAGATGGGCACAGGGGAGGCAGCCAGCGAAGATAGAGGGCTGCTGATGAATAAGAGCGCTAGATAAGCCTGCAGTGCATGCATGCGTGGGCCTGGGGGCAAAGACGGGAGATAGAGAAGCTGGCCAAGCGAGTTAGTGCCGGTTGTGTTTCATGATTCGTTATCGTTCGCTTCCGATATGACTTGAGTCATTCTCTTGAGATCTGTTGCTTCGGCACGATCTTTGGTCCTTCCGACCATTCCCTTCGGCAGGGCGTCTTCCCAAGCCGCCCTTGGAGCCGCAGAGTGATGGTGGAGTGCTCATGTGAGTGATGGTGGAGTGCGCAAGTGAGTGATGGTGGATATCGAGTACGTCGCCCAGCTGGTCACCCTCCCGGTGAGTCCGCAGCGAGGCGGCACGAGTACTCGTACAACAGCTAGCTGCCCTTCTTGCATCATCTTCCCTCAGCCAGATCTTGCTCTCTCTCTGAGTCCATGTGCCTCCTCGTCCTTCCAGGACTCGCCCCTGTGCTGACCTACTCCCCTCCTCTCCTCCCGACTGGCCGAATGCATGTCTGGGGATGCTTTTGAGGGTCATGTCTCACCGGGATTACATGCACGCATATCTGCCTGAGATCTGCCTGTCTGTCCGTCTGTGTTGTCTCTCTAGCCTCCCAGTGTGTGCCTACGTATCCGCCACAAGGTCCGTCCCCTCGCTGACCACCCACTGAGGCAGACAACACATGCATTTGACCCGCACATCAGTCAGGGGAACATGGTACTCTCACTCAGAGCGGACGGCACGAAAGCATGTGTGTGGCTGGCTATCTCTCTCTCTCTTTCTCTCTCTCTCTCGCTTGGCTGAGATCAGTTAGTTGTCTGGTGTGTTTGGCTGCGCGTATGGATGGCTGGTATGCTTCGCGTGTGGGTTTGACCGTTGCCAGAGAGAGGACATCCGCACCATGACACTTTCGTAACACTGGTGCATCTGCGTGTCTTCTTTTTCCATCTGCGGGTCTGTCGTTTGGCTGCGGGGAGGTTGGTCT